CTCAGTCTGTGGATGAATTTGGAGAGTGTTGCCATCTTAATATCAAATCTTCCAATCCATAAACACAGGATGTCTTCTCATTTATATAGGCCATCCCACTGCCCTCCAGACTGCTTGGTTTCTTTTTTTTTCTTCCAAGATTTTATTTAAATTCAAGTTAGTTAACATATAGTGTAGATTAATTTCAGGAGTAGAATTTAGTGATTCATCACTTACATATAACAGCCATTGCTCATCACAAGTGCCCTCCTTAATGCCCATCCCCCCACCCACCTCCTGCCAGCAACCCTCAGTCTATTCTCTGTAGTTAAGAGTCTCTTATGGTTTGCCTCCCTGTCTTATTTTATTTTTCCTTATCTTATTTTTCCTTCCCTTCCTCTATGTTTCTCTGCTTTGTTTCTTAAATTCCACATGAGTGAAATCATATGGTATTTGTCTTCCTCTGACTTATTTTGCTTCACATAATACCCTCTAGTTCCATCCACGTCATCACAAATGGCAAGATTTCAGGGAGTTTTTTTGATGGCTGCATAATATTCCATATATATATATATATATATATATATATATATATATACACACACACACACACACACACCACATATTCTTTAGCCATTCATCAGTTAATGGACATTTGGGCTCTTTCCATAGTTTGGCTATTGTTCATAATGCTGCTGTAAACACTGGGGTGCAGGTGCCCCTTTGAATCACTATTCTTATATCCTTTGGATAAATACCTAGTAATGCATTTGCTGGGTCATAGGGTAGCTCTATTTTTAACTTTTTGAGGAACCTCCAGACTGTTTTCCACAGTGGCTGCACCAGCTTGCATTCCCACCAATAGTGTAAGAGGGTTCCCCTTTCTCCGCATCCTCACCAACATCTGTCGTTTCCTGACTTGTTAATTTTAGCCATTCTGACAGGTGTGAGGTGCTATCTCATTGTGGTGTTGGTTTGTTATTGCCCTCATAATGAGTGATGTTGAGCATTTTTTCATGTGTCTGTTAGCCATTTGTATCAGACTGCTTGGATTCTGAGAAATCTCACTCCTCACAATCACAATGCAGCTCTTTATGCCCACCAGTCCTGTCCCTATGCTTTAATTTAATTTAAATTTAATTTAAATAATCTCTACCCACCCCCAATTTAAAAGTATATAATCAATCTAATGATAAGTCAGTTGTCATTCTTATTGAGAATCCCTTGCACATGACGAGTTGCTTCTCTCTTGCAGCTTTTTTTTTTTTTTTAAAGATTTTATTTATTTATTTGAGAGAGAGAATGAGAGAGAGAGAGAGCGCGAGAGGGGGGAGGGTCAGAGAGAGCAGCAGACTCCCTGCTGAGCAGGGGGCCCGATGCGGGACTCGATCCTGGGACTCCAGGATCATGACCTGAGCCGAAGGCAGTCGCTTAACCAACTGAGCCACCCAGGCGCCCCTCTCTTGCAGCTTTTAAGATTCTCTTTGTCTTCTGACAGTTTGACTATGAAGTGTGTAGGTGTGGAGCCCTTCATTTTGCTTGGGGTTCATGAATTTCTTAGATGTGTACATTAGTGTTTTTCTTCAAATTCGGGAAAATTTTGGCCATTATTTCTTCAAATACCCTTTCTGCTTCTTTCTCTCCTTTCCTTCAGGCACACTCATTAAACATATGTTAGTGTACCTGATGGTTACCCACAGGTCTCTGAGGCTCTGTTCATTTTTCTTCATTCTGCTCCTCTGACAAGATAACCTCGAGTTCACTGATTCTTCCAACTTCACTGATTCTTTCTTCTGTCTGCTTAAATATGCTATTTATCCCCTCTAGTGAACTCTTCAGTTCAGTTATTTTTCAACTCCAGAATTTCTATTTGGTTCTTTTTATCATTTCTATCTTATGTTCTGTTTGGTGAGACTTTGTTCTCATACTTTATTGTTTGTACAGGTCTCCTTTAATTCCTTGAACACATTTAAAATAATTTATTTAAAGCCTTTATTAAGGGAGCCTGGGTGGCTCAGTTGGTTAAGCGACTGCCTTCGGCTCAGGTCATGATCCTGGAGTCCCGGGATCGAGTCCCGCATCAGGCTCCCTGTTTAGCAGGGAGTCTGCTTCTCCCTCTGACCCTCCCCCCTCTCATGCTCTATCTCATTCTCTCTCTCTCAAATAAATAAATAAAATCTTAAAAAAAAAAATAAAGCCTTTATTAAGGGACGCCTGGGTGGCTCAGTTGGTTAAACATCTGCCTTCAGCTCAGGTCATGCTCCCAGGGTCCTGGGCTCGAGTCCTGCATCAGGTTCCTTGCTCAGCAGGGAACCTGCTTCTCCCTCTACCTGCTGCTCCCCCTGCTTGTGTTCTCTCTCTCTCTGACAAATAAATAAAATCCTTAAAAAATAATGATAAAATAAAATAATTTAATAAAAATTTGAAAAAAAAATAAAGCCTTTATTAAGTCCAATATCTGGGCTTCCTCAGGGGCAGCTTCTTTGGACTGCTTTTTTTTTTTTCCTATGTATGGGCCTGTCTTAGTCAATTTGGGCTGCTATAACCAAGTACCAGAGATTGGGTGCCTTATAAATGAAAGAAATTTATTTTTCACAGTTCTGGAGGCTTGAAGTCTGAGATCAGGTGCCAGCATAGTAGCGTTCTGGTGAGGACCCTCTTCCAGTTGCAAACTACCAACTTATTATTATATCCTCACAGGCTGGAAAGCCAGCCAGCTAGCTGGCCTCTTCTTATAAAGGCACTAATCCCTTCACAAGAGTTCCACTCTTATGATCTAATTACATCCCAACAGGCCCACCTCCAAATACCATCACATTGGAATTAGGATTTCAACCTATGAAGTGGGGGCGGGGGGGGGGGGGACACAAACATTTAGTCCATTGCAGGGCCATCCTTTATTTCTTTGCATATCTTATAATTTTTGGTTGCAAATTACATGTTTTATATAATGTAATGTGGCATCTCTGGAAATCAGATTCTCCCTCCTCAAGATTTGTTGTTGTTGCTGTTTGTTTAGTAACGCTTGTGAACTAATTCTCTAAGGTCTGTATTCTTTGTTGTGTGGGGCCACTGAAGTCTCTGCTCAGTTAGCTTGGTGGTTAGCTAAAATTGGACAGAAATTTGCTTAAATGCATAGAACCTAGAGACCTCCCAACCTTTTTCTAGGGCTCTACGGATGTATTAGGACACAACTCAGCCAGGCAGTTTACAGTGTTGCCTTCCCCTTCACTTGCAGCTTGCTCAGTATGTCAAGGTTACCCACAGTTGAGAGCTAAGGGGCCTTCTCGGGCCTTTCCTGAGGAGCACACAGGCCTAAGCATGCACACCAATTCCCAGAAATATGTGAAAGCTTTCTAAAGCCCCCTGTGGACATCTCATTCCCCCAGATTTTCCTTTTAAGCTTGTTAATCAACCTACTGTTTCCTTCAACTTTACCTAATGCCTCAGGCTGATGTGATGTTCAACAGTTGCCACTGACTGTTTTCAACAGATGCCCCCAGGGAATAGGCTGTTCGCACTGGGCCAGCTCCATGTCAGGTCAAATAAAGACAGCCTTCCTTGTGAGTGCGGTCTTTCCGCAAATAATGACAGTTCTCTGAGAATGGGGCTTTAAAGAAACTCCAACTCTGTTCTGCCCCATTCACTGATTGCCTGGATGCTGGTTTTCACTCTGCTTGCAGTCTGTTGGTTTTCAAGGCTAGCACAGGAGAACAAGAATTGGCCAAGTTAAAATACCACGAGGCCCCAAGAGAAATGAAAATGTAAGTCCACACAAAAACTTGTACACAGATGGTCATAGCAGCATTATTTGTAATAGCCAAAAGGTGGAAACAACCAAATGTCCATCAACTGATGACTGGATCAACAAAATGTGGCATATCCATACAATGAAATATTATTTGGCTATAAGAAAGAATGAAATATAGGGGCACCTGGGTGGCTCAGTCAGTTAAGCGTCCAACTCTTGGTTTTGGCTCAGATCATGATCTCAGGGTCATGGGATAGAGCCCTATAGAGGCTCTGTGCTCAGCGGGGAGTCTGCTTGGGATTTTCTCCCCCTCCCTCTGCTCCTCCCCCGCTTGCACACACTCTCTTTCTCTCAAATAAATAAATCTTTAAAAAAAAATGAATGAAATATAGATATATACTACAACATGGATGAATCTTGAAAACATTATGCTAAGTGAAAGAAGCTAGTCATAAAAGGCCACATGGTATATGATTCCATTCATAGGAAATGCCCAGAATGGGGAAGTCTATAGAGAGAGAATGTAGATTAATGGTTGCTTGGGATGGTGGGGGCAGACAGGAATTGGGGGAATAAGAAAAAGAATAATGGCTAAAAGTTACTAGATTTCTTTTGGAGGTGATGAAAACATTCCAAAATTGACTATGATGATGGTTGCACATACCTTGAATGTATTAAAAACTATTGAAATGTACACTTTAAATGTGTGAATTGTTTGGTGTGTGAATTTTATCTCAGTGAAGCTGGTTTTTTTTTTTAATGCCACAAATTTTGATGCTCTTACTGGCATTCAGCTGACCTTTTAAGTAAATGCTTTCAAGATTGCTGTTAGCCTTTGGTTAACAGAGCTTCTGAGAAAGTTGATTCTGACCATTTTTGCTGTTGTCCTCATTGCTCTTATACAGGAGAAGAGTTTTTGAAGATCTTACTCTGCTACTTTTGCTAACATTCTCTGTTTACTTTTAATGTTAGGTACACCCTTCTGTTCCTATCACTCTTAGACTAAACACACCATTCTGTTTCACTCAACGATGATGATATACCATCCTCCTCTCCTCACTACTCTTCTAGGTACCATATTCTATTTTCTCCAATGTTTTGTACAGTCTTCTTGGTGCATTTTTCTTGTTTTCCTCTGCACTTTCCTAATATCCCAGCTGAGGAGGGAATAGCAGTGAGTGATGGGGGAGTTACTGAGGAGCAGAAATATTGAGATATTTCATTCTCCCTTGCCCTCACGCCCCTGTGTTCTTCTCCACCCCCACTCCAGGTGTCCTACGTGAAAGCCATTGACATTTGGATGGCAGTGTGCCTGCTCTTCGTGTTCTCAGCCCTGCTTGAGTATGCCGCTGTCAACTTTGTGTCTCGGCAGCACAAAGAGCTGCTCCGATTCAGGAGGAAGCGAAGACATCACAAGGTAGGCCTTTGGATCCCTACCTAAGGAGGGACAGCTGGTGGTCAACAGAAGAGTTACAGGCAGGCTTCTCTTGTGATACTTGTTTCACTGGACCATCCTTCTCAGTGGGTAAGGCAGACATAAAATAGGGATTGAAGGCCTACAACTCCTAACTTCCCCTCCCATAAAATAGGGATTGAAGGCCTACAACTCCTAACTTCCCCTCCCATAAAAAACTCTGTAGAGAGTTACTCTTCCAACCGTAATACTATAGAAATGATCAGGTTACACCTGAAGACAGAACTGATGGAGCAAACACTGATGGGGCTAAGATAATAACTAGCTGTGACCTTGAAGCTTGGCAGGCTGAAAGACGTTTATTGGTGTCTTCGGCAAGCTTGCATTATTTCCAAGGGTCTGGTTCCAGAAGGGAATTGCACCACAAAAGGTAAGATCTTTGAGTAGAATGTCCAGGTGCCAGGCCTTTGCTCCTTCCTTGCAAGAAAGGAGCATCACGCAAGATGCTCCCTTAGAGTGAATTCTCTCACTTTATGAAGGTGTGAGTAAAGAACTACTTGGCCAACCATCTATACGAAGTCACCAACCTCTGCTAACTCAGAGGCTGTGTTCCAGCCAGCAAATGCCACTGCGGAGAGTGCCGTCTGTGCGAACAAACTGGCTGCACACTTTGGTCAATAAATATTTCCCCCAAAGACCTCTCCCCCTGGAGATCATAGAACCCACTTTTCTTTCCAGCCTCATCTTCACTTTCTCCTTTGCTCTCTGAGCACCAACCACCCTAGTTTTTTCCCTTGTTGCTCAAACATACACACAGGACTTCAGATGTCTTGTTCTCTCCTGGAATGCCCTCCCAGTGCACTTTACTTAGTGTTAACCAAGCACTCATTCTCAGGTTCTCAGCTGAGGCATCTTCCTTGATACCTGGGTCAAGACAGAGGTCCTGTAGTGAGGTTCTCATGCAAAGCTGTCAAGTATGGCCATGCAGACTGTATCCTCCACGGGCCCCCTTGCCAACGAGGCACTTTTCTCTAGGTCCTGCTTTGGCATGGACTGTATCTGCCAGAGGAAGGATTCTAATTATATGTCTAGAAAGGAGGGGTGCCATTTTTCTCATCTGCACAAGGATGCTGTGTGAGCTAGCAAAGATCATGCTCTAATAAAACTCAGTTTCCCTCCTTCTGAACAGTCATCTTGATTTATAATCATACATTCATGATGTAGTTGTTTTGTGCTTATCTCTCCCACTGAATTATAAGCTCCATGAGGGTGGAGACCATGTCAACTCTGGCTCAGTGCTATGTCTCTGGTGCCTAATACAATGCCTGACATACAGTGAACATGCCATTGGCATTTACTGAACCTGTGGACAAAGGGATAAACTCGTGAACACAGAGGAGCCCTTCTGGTCAGAGAGCCTAGCCAGAAGTTTTTCCAGCAACAGATTAGGGCAAACAAGAACCCATATGCTATGACCTGTCAGGCCATGCCACATCCCTGCCACACACCAAGGCCCCCCCAAGCTTTAGACTGACCTACGTCAAATAGCTAGCTATCCAGCTACAATGTGCTGTGTCAGAGGACCCTGTCTCTTTATCACTATTTAGTATGTGACTTCAAACTCACCTTTTTCTGGGCCCAGTTTCTCCATCTGTAAAATGGACTAAATTGGCACAGTGGGGGACTGTGGTGAGGATTAAATCAGATTACAAAGTAACTTTAAATTCTGTTCCTGTCACACAAGTTCCAGGAAATAAAATGATTACACACGCACAGAATTTCCATCAGAATGGTCCTTAAACATCAGCAATCTGATTCAATTAACTTGTAGCAGTTTACCATAGGCAAGAGGCAGACATTTCAAGACAGAAGATGTCCATGGGAGTTCAGGTATAACCATCCTTCTAAATCTGCATTGGAAGAGAAAACTATCTTAGGTGCAGCAAGCCAGGCAGGATTTCTCAAAAGACTTCTAGTTTTAGTCCTTACTGCCCATTGGATACTTAGCCTCTGACTATTAAAATAATCTAAGCAAGGAATGGACCAAACATAACATTCTTGGGAATTTATTATTTTTCCTTTTTCCCCGCTGGCTAGCTGTTTTTTGCACTTTCCTCTGCTAAAAGAGGGTTAATACATTTGTTGAAGAGACACTTATTTGGGGAAACTATGTCCATAATATTTGACTAGCATCAGGCCACTAGACTCTGCACTGCACAACTCCAGGGGGCACTATTTGCAGAGACAAAAATGTAAATGGAGCCCCCCTGCAGACGTGCAGTATGGTGGGCCTACAGTACCTCCAAAGGCTGCCTCCACCCTCGCCAACTCCCTACCAGCTTTACACACCAGAGAAAAACTAAACTTTCTCGAGGGCCAGGTGAAATATAAACAAAGTCACTATCAGATTTGATCAGATATCCCTGCTCGGTTCCCTCCTCGCTCTCTCATAGCTCATGTTCGTGTTGAAAGAGCCCTTTAGAGGGCATCCTGTCCACTCCTCCCATGCCAATGACAACAGCAAGGAGGAGCAAGTCACGAGGATCACAGAGGCTCTAGTGGCAAAGCAGGGTGGGTGCTGGAGGTCCCATGGCTCCCACTGACCAGACACCATCAGTTGCTTATCTGTTCACCAATATTGCCATCCTGAAGCAGATAAAAACAGCCCTGCGATTTATTAGCTCACAAATAAGAACTAAGACTTATCCCAAGGCAGAGGTCAAAAACCAGTAGCCAGAAATCAAATTCAACATGCAACTGTCTTTAATTTCACTAGCAGTGTCTCAGAAGTCTAGAATAAGGTGCCAGCATTTAAAAATCACACTTTAATCTTCATTCAAAAAGTCACCGCCTCTGGTCCCACTGGATTCACATCCCACCTGATACTGGGGCACTGGAACTGCCCTTAGGTAGGGAATGCATTCTCTGCTTTGCCACAGTCCCTTCTGACTGGAGATTTTGTCAGCCCTGGCTCATTTCTTCATTCACATTTCTCCTGCGTGGCCCCTTGTGTGTGGTTGAATCAGCGTGACCTTGTTCCTAAGGGCTCTGAAATTGACCCAAATGTCAGAAACTACAAGGATGCAGAATTGGGTTCACCATAAAGCAGTGCTTCCTTTGGAGTAAGCCCCTCTGGATGTGGCTTGTACATCAGCAGTGTATAAGCTTGGGCTGCAGAAACCTCCCTTCAGCAGGAAGTTTGCAGAGGGGGTTTTCAGCCCCAGATGGTGAGTGAAAAGGAACTAGCTCCATGCCTGAGTTTCTCAGAGCCTGTGATCTTGGCCAGGCTCCTCAAATCCCACCGTCCTCCCATGTTACCTCATTTGTTGGGCACAAAGCATCTGGTCCTCAAATTCCCTGGCCGGCCTCATTAGTCAGATTATTAGGAAATCTGCGAGCCATACTGGGCAGGCACCCTCCCAACCTCCCTAGGAGGAGGAGACGACCAGATTGTAACCGCTCCATCCCCAAGCCTTCACTTCCTGCCATCTGCTGGGGAGAACAGGAATAGCAAGCCTCTCTCCGTCATTTCTAGGGAATTTCCTTTCTCCTGGCTACAGTGTGAAATTGATGATCATCTAAGTAGATGGGGCCTCCAGGCCACACCTCCACTCCTTCCATTTCCATGTTTAATTGATGAGGAAGGCAGAGAAAAATTCGCCCAAAGCTGTATATAAAATTAATTTGGTGCTTCCCTTGCATAACTAGAGCCCGGTGAGAAAACATTTTCAAGCACCCCATCCTGCAGCAAGGGCAGCAATAGAGCTGGACCCAGACCCCCTTCCAGCCACAGGGTCAGTAATTTGGAGCGCTGCCCCCAACTCCTTTCCTTGGTCCTGGCACAAACCCTCTACTGTTGCCCTACTCATAGACAAGTATTTACTGGGATCTATTTGCCCAGCACATGTTCTTTCCCCCTTTCTGCAATGAGAGTGTTGGACCAGATTCAACAATTTGCCAAAGATTTCTTGAGCATTTTCCATGTCTCAAATCCTCCTGGTGCCAAGAATACAACCCCATTTAAAAAAAAAAAAAAAAAAAAAAAGGAAGCTAGGAGTAGTGAAGATATACTGGTAAACATTTACTTATTCAACAAATATTTACTGAGCTTTGAGCTTATGTCCAGAAACACTGTTCATATGTTCAGTGTTCAGGGTGCAATGAACATGAATAAGACTCTGCCTGCATGGAGCTTAGAGTCTAATGGGAGAAACAGACATTAATCCAGAAACAATGTGGAGCGCCTGGGTGGCTCAGCCGGTTAAGAGTCTGACTCTTGATTTCGGCTCAGGGTCCTGAGATCAAGCCCCACATCAGGCTCTGCACTGGGCGTGAATCCTGCTTAAGATTCTCTCTCTTCCTCTCCCTCTGCCCTTCCCCCACCCGCACTCTCTAAAAAATAGAAATAAAAAATAAAAAGGTTTGCAAGAGATAAAGATTATATATATATATATATTTTTTTTTTTAAAGAAACATAATGTGATAAGAGCTTTAAAAAAACAACAGAGCAGGATGTATAGGGAGCTCATGGAGCACATAGCAGGGGCACCTCGTCTATTCTTGCCCTCGGGGAAGGCTTCCAAGGAAGACATTAGTTCAGTGAAAGAGAAGGTGTTAGAAGCAGAGGTTAGGAGTACGTTCCCGGAAGAGAGGACAATCTGAGCAGAGGCCCATGGTTAAAAAAGAAAGAGCATGGCACGTCTGAATATCTGTAAATATTTTGGGATGACTGGTGCATATGGTGCTGGAAAGAGAATAGCACAGATGAGACTGGAGAGGGCAGAGTCCGGGCCATCTAAGGCCTTGTTCACCACGTAAGGACCTTAATTATCCTGAAGCCAGTGACAGCCCATTAAAGAGTTCAAGCAAAAGATGACCAATACGATGTGTGTTAAGACAACTCAGCTGGGTTGAAGGGGCCAGCCGGGAGGCAGTAGGAAGACTGGCTGGAAGTTGTCACAACAAGCCTGTGGGGTGGCCCAAGCAAGGGTGGCAGGAACAGAGCTGGAAAGGGGCTCATACACGGTGTCTCCTGTTCTCTGTCAGCCCTGTTCTACATAGGAACAAGCGGAAGATAGGCTGTCTCCCTCCCTAGGAGGACAATGGGAGCCTCTCGGTGCCAGCGCGGAGCTCACAGGGGAAGATCACAAAGCTAGACATGATGAGAGCGGACAACAGTGTCTGCACGAGTCAGATCAGAAGATCACCACGAGCTGGGAAAGAGAGACATTAGAAGAATACGGGCAGAGGCGTGTTGGTAGTGAGCATAAGGCAGGGTGAGAGAAATGCACAGGGGGGACTGGCAAAGTGCAACCAAACTGGCAGGTATGCCAAGCATAAGGTAAGGGGAAGGGCAAAGGCCTGTAAAGGTAAGTTGGAGCCAAAGGATGAAGGGCTTTGAACAGTAACTTAATCCAGAGCTATGTCTGAGGTCACAAATGCCAGGGCTGTGGGAATGTGGAGGGAGCAGCAGCTGTGGCTTCCCCGGCGGCGTGTAAAACAGGGCTGAGGCCCACAGCATTTGCTCTCTCCCCCAACCCATGCCCGAGAACACACCAACTGGGGGGATGGGGTGGGGGAGAAGGGCAAGAAGGCAACAGAGGCAAAGCAGGGGATCTCTCCAAATTGTCCCGATTTCTAAAAAAACAGCATCCGAACGTCTGCTCATCTATAACCTCTGATGGTCAAAAGAACCCTTGGTTGTAGTGGGGTGAATCTTTCCCCCCATTTATAGGAAAATATGAAGTAAAAAAAACCTGAGACTCAAATAGAGAAGTGACTTGCCTAAGGCCACATGGCCAGCAAGTGACCGAGCCGGACTTGGTCTGCAGACTCTAGGCCACATTCCTATCCCCTGGTTTGAATCTGTTTCAGCATGCAAGTGGCGCCCCTCTATAAGGCGTAACTCCCCAGCCAGCCTAAGAGCCTTAAGAAACCTGGAATGGTAGAGGCAGGGGGGCAGGGAGAACCAGATGGGCCTGGCCTGGCCCCCAGGGGAGTGCCTTGCAGGGAGGGTGCCCAGCCCCTGTCTTATTTTAAGTAGAGCCCCATGCTGAATCTGTTCCAGGAGGATGAGGCCGGAGAGGGCCGCTTCAACTTCTCTGCCTACGGGATGGGCCCAGCCTGTCTGCAGGCCAAAGATGGCATCTCGGTCAAAGGCACCAACAACACCACCACCACCAACCCCCCTCCTGCACCATCTAAGTCCCCGGAGGAGATGCGAAAACTCTTCATCCAGAGGGCCAAGAAAATCGACAAAATATCCCGCATTGGCTTCCCCATGGCCTTCCTCATCTTCAACATGTTCTACTGGATCATCTATAAGATCGTCCGCAGGGAGGATGTTCACAACCAGTGACGGGTCTGGGATGGAGGGGCGTGGGGAGGCTGGGAGAGGGCAGAGTGGGAATAGCACAGGAATCTGAGAGCCTAAGGAAGAGGAGGAGAAGAGAGGGAGGGGGCACACATACACAACTCCCTCTTTCTCTGCACTATGTGCAATAGCAAAATGCAGTGATGCATGAATCTTAGAATGTGGCACTCTCTATTTAACCGTGGGTGGGCTGCTGGGAGGGGGTAGGGAGGGGCTTTTCTAATATTGGAGCTGAGGGGTCAGGAGGAAGGGGAGGGTTAGTGGGGGGATAGGGAGTGGGGGAATAACAGCTTTCAAAAATTTGAGTCCATGGGCTGGGCAGTTTTCCTATTTGGAAGGAGAGTGCAGTCTGCCCCAGAGCAGAAGGAAAGCAATGTAATATATGATATATATTCATGCTTAATATTAATGCAAAACCACAAGAACAAAAGATTTGTTTCTAAACCTATCAGCCTAGTAACTGCTTAAATTTTTAAAGCCACAGAAGTGATGGACAATTTTTCCCAGAGTGGAAACAGTCACAAAGCTTGCTCTGGTATGTGTCCCATATCACAGCCCTCCAAATGCCATGCCTGTCTTCAAACCGGCCCGGGTGGACACATGCCAAAAAGCCATCCCACCTCTGCTTCCAGAGGGTTATGCGGCCTGGCCATGGGTAGTGGAAATGGGGAAAGGTGGAGAGAAGAGAGGGAATGGCTAAGGAGATGGGACATCTCAGAGACCCAAGGATTGATAATCAAGACAACTCCACCTCAATCCTCAGGTCTCAAGGCTAAGGACCACACCTGCCCCTCTCTGAGCCCTCTCGCTTCTATGATTCAACACCCACCCCACTTACCCTCCACTGCCACCCAGAAATGGCCGCCATGGTTTTCCCATTATATTGCCAATATGCAATCTTTTTTACGGTTAAAAAAAAAAAGTAATAATCTCAAGAATATGCAGATAGACTGAGTATAAACAGATGCACTTTTTTCAAATGTCTATTTTTTTGGAGAGTCTCTTTGGAACTGCAAGTGGGTATGTATTTGGGAAGGTGGGGTTGGTGGGATGAAGTAGATTTATTCTATAATGGCTCTACAAAGTGAAGTTTTAAGAGGTGAAAGGGTAGTAATGAGGCTGCCGCAGCTCAGATATATACGGGTGGAAAGAAATAGTAATGTTTAGAAAGTCTGTTCATTATATTTTGACATTTCATATGCCACAAATAATGTGGGAAGCATGGGGAGATGACCCCATTATATTTTTATAAATCTTTTTGTTTTCCTTTTTGGTGCTTTGCTTAGCTTTAACATTTAGGAAAGTTAGACAAATATTTCTTTCCTTCTAACTCTGAAGTGCTAGAACTACCCCAGGTTAGCTAGGGCACTCCAGAAAAAAGGAGAGGGACTAGGAAATAAATTGTGAGGGGTGGGGGACCCTGCTGAAGGACACGGATGTTCACTGATGGAGGGTCTGCAACAGGGACTGCTAAAGACAGGAGCAGCCTCTGTCCTCTCTGCCAACAGCATCATGCTTGAATGATGGCACCGCTGTCTGGGGCATGCTCCCTGCTGCAGCCTGTGACCGGTATACTGGGCTACGTTTCTTCCTTTGCACTTTAGTGTCTTGGCTTTGGATCAAAGTAGTGGTAGATGGTGGGACACGGCGGACAGTCGGTTTGTCCTGAGGCCTGGGGTTTCACAGGGGTCTTTAGAGTATCCCCAGTGTGAGGGAGAAGAGAAGGGAGACACTGGGACCCTAACTCTTCCCTCAAGTCCCTTCCCCGAGGGAAATTTCTCCCATTCCCTGTGGCACAATGGCTAATACCTCTAGAGGCCCAAAACACCAAGCCAAAAGACAAGGATCTAGAGTGATTTGGGTAAAGAAAATGCACTGTGCAGCCAAAAGAGGATTTGGCTTTGAGGCTTGAATGAAAAAATTGTTTACATCCAGGGTCAAGGTCAGTAAGTCATTGCCTTCCCTTCTCTTGGCGTGTGCAGACCAGAAAATTAAATTGTATTCTAGCCTTGGATGATGTGGGATAGAGCCCACAATCCTGAGTGGGGCGCTCTCATCCACGACTGTCTTTTTATCCTTTTCCCCACCACAAACTGTGTCTAAAGGAGGAAAAGGGAAACAGAGGGATCTGAATAAGTACCACCAGTTCAAGACTCAAGTATCAGTCTCAGAACTGCTATTAGCACGACATTCACTTTATTTAAGGGAGGAAATCCTCAATCCCTCAGTGGTGCATGAGTCACTGGAGAGGCTATTTGCCCCTTTCACTAGCACTTTATTCACTTTAAGGGGAAAATCGTTATTTAATTAAAAAAAAAAATTAAAGAAGCCCTTTTCTCCAGTTTACTCATTACCAGACTAAATTCAGAATGTCTGAAATCGAGGTGATCCGGCAGCAAAGGCATTAGGCCTGTGTCAGGGACTGAAGACAACACCAGTTGTTCCAAGACATTCTGCCTCCACTCAAACAGGAGCATCTGCAGATTTCAAACCGGGCTCCTTGTGTGAGGCGTCTGGAATCGCTCCGAAACAGAGAAATCACTGGGGCATTTGCCCAGCCTCTGCTGGGTCCCTGAACTTCTGCCACCATATTCAACTTGTGGGCCCACTGGGAACTGCCAGGTCTAGTCAACAGTATCTAACAGACAACACAATCATCTTTTTGAGACACAGAAAGGAAAGGTCACTGAAATCTTTGCTCCAACTATTCCAGACTTGGTATTCCTCATGGAAAATAAATGTGAGTGAATACATTATAGTGGAAAAGAACCTGAATTTTAGTCCTACCACTAATGTGCTGGGGAACCTTAGGTAAATGACTTAGCTTTAGTTCCTCTACAAACACAATGGGGAGAGTGGTACAGATCTCTAACCCCTTCCAGCTCTAACTGTCCCGTGTGCTTGAACTATAGGAGGTTTACACAATGAAAAGTTTAATGTCACTTTAATTTCTGAACCCTCTAGACAGACGTGCACATACATATATATGCACATGTACATGGACCTACCTTCTTTGGAACATTTGCAGATTTTTCTTTTTGCTTTACTTTATCAAAGATGAGCAGTGGTGGGAAAAGAACATCATGATAAAGTCAAAAATACCATTGTGAATTAGAAATGAAGCATGCTCAAAGAGAAGGCATTACCATCAATGTATAATGTAGAAAGGATTTAGCAATAAATTACATGGATTTTATCACTATAAAAAAATCAAACTAGATGATTTAGGCCAAAAACATTTTTTAGGTGCCTCCAACACACAGGACAATGCTTTCTTAGTTTCCCTTTCAGTTTGTGCACAGAGGATATCACACTTTGGGACTACATATGCCAAATGTTGTGGCAGGGGGAAACTGACTGAGGTGTAATGAGTGGTTTACTGGTTTTCAAACTCTATGTGGCTAGACCAGTATTTACGCACGAAGGTAGAACTGGATACTGGTATAGAGCAGATGGTGAGTTCACCCACCTCCAAAACTGCAGCTATTCCTAGGAGTCAGATTTAAGAAATATTAACTAAGCAGACAGATGATACCAGGAACTTCTCACCTTAGCTTACAACTTAACTAGATTAGTTTCAAGAGCAGCCAAAATTAATGGCTCAGCGCTGCCACCCTCTGGTCCTTTCAAACATTCAAGAGTCTGCCTTGGCCAATGCTATATAGAGAGTGACCAAGGACAGGAGTGAATAGGAAAGATGCAGAGTGTGTGTGAGAGAGAGACAGAGAGAGAAAGATAAGAGAAGGTCATCTGACCCAAATTATTACTTCTTCTAAGCTGTCAGTAAATAAGAAATGTATCCCTCTAAGAGGCCTATCAGTATTTTTCATAGACTATTTTTTCATACTAGGGAGAAAATAAATATGACAGGAGTTGGTTCCTTTCCTTCAAAGTACACATTAAAAAAAAAAAAAGAGTACACATTGTTATGGGCATCATTAAAAAGAGATTGTGTTTTGTGAGCCTCCATGATATTAGATTGCAGACAGAGACCAGTGCCCCAGCTAAGCTGCTACCATCACGGATAAGTCAGTCTTTTGTGAAAATGAGACTCCTTAGTTAACTGCGGCACACTGAACTTGAAAGGAGCGGAGTTCTCATCATGTCTGCAGTAACTGCCTCCTTAGTAGAAGCTGGCAAGAAAAGGGCTTGCTGGTGGTACAATCTGTATCAGCTTGAGGACTGGGGCCGAGCTGAGATTGGCAGCTTTTCCCCAGGCTGACTGGAATCCCAGCCCAGGGATGATGAGTACCACTCTGGAAGCTATCAGATTTATTCCACAAGCACCTTCTGTACGTTCTGCCCGCCCTCCACCCCAACTCTGAAGAGGCAGGCAAGATTGGGTTTTCTCTCTGGGCTGTGTTTCTCAGACTGACTAGAAAGCTTGCACTCTGAGGCGCTAGTAAGGTCTGCTGAGGAAGGTCGAATGGGCCTCCTACCCTCTGATATAAAGCGTCTTTAATTCAAGAACCGGCCAGACCAAAAATTAAGAACAAGCATGTTCTTAAAATGTAATTTATCTTTTCGTCCTCCACTAAGCCCCTTCTCTCAGAAACCAACTCCAGAAATTTGAATTGAGAACCTTCCTATTTTCCTGCAGCTCTACAAAGCCAGAAATAGGAGCTTATCCTGACCAAAGGAAGGAGTAAAAGAAATACGCCTTGTTTTGTTTGAGCTGGCTTGTTTAACTACTTGTATCGGTGTAAGGAAAAGCATATGTTGGAAAGGTTTTTGTTTCACAGTATCCTGAAATCCCAATGAATAAGGAGAATATCCTTGGGCAGGTTGAAATCCCAGCAGAAATAGAGAACTCTGAAAAATCCGCCGGGCCCAAGTAATCTAGAACCTTGAGGGCCCAGAATAGATGGTGCCGTTACCAAATTAGTATCCTGTGGCTTCCTTCAGGATCTCTCCAGCTGTGAAGACAGCAATGGCAGGAGATAGGTTTGTTCAAACGTGGGGCTATTACACGCTGTTTTAATGGA